GCAAGTGCTTACATCTAGAGCAGAGAGCAGATCTCTTTTCAAGAAGCAAAGAGAAGAGAAGGGTGGGGTCCCGCAGTTCCTTGTAGAGGTCTGTTATCAATAGCTAAAAGCCTCACACTAGGTAAAGGTACACAGCACGTCTCAATCCTGCCACTCCAGACTTTACATACGGACTTTTGGGGGACAGTCATCCAAACCATAGCAGTACCCAAAAGAGCTTCTCTGTGAAGTCCAGTGTGTTGCCTTTTTGGCAGAGACTGTCAGTGTGGAACCAACAAATGTGTCACTGAAGAGAAATATGTAGAATTACTATACTGTAATATCTGTTCTTGCCCATCCTGATTAAAAGGGAAATATAAACAAGGAATGCTGCACAGAGAAAGCAGTTTCCTGATCTCCCTGGATCTAAACATGTTTTCCTCATTTTGGTGCTGCATTGTAAAATGTTTTCCTTTCCCTAAGATGATAAAAAATGCAGAATAACTACCACCCCACATAGTAAACAAAAATGCTCATATTACCTGTAAAAATTGCATACTATAACAAAAAAATAGTTTGTTACAAGAAATGAATGAATTCACAAATATGCTTATTCATTTAAGGTGTAAATGTCTTACTTATTTCCTCCATTTTTCCTTTCTTTCTTTACTATATAAATGTATACATCACATACTGTATAGGCACACATATGAAGTCTCTGAAGAGCTGAGAGTTTAAAAAGTTTGAAATACACTTTTGAAAAGACCCTAACTGAAGTTGAACTGGAAACAACCATATGAACTCATTATTTTTGTAACTTACATCTTTGATACTCTGCCACATCACATTGTGTGGAACAACCTTGTATCCATGAGTACCAGCTTGGCCACCTTTGGGGCTGTGGGGAGGTAAGGCTGTTTTCATGGAGGCTGTGGACCACCAAAGAGAAAGCAGGCAGCTTAGAGGGCTCCAGCTGACCAAACTGTGTTTGAATATCCAAAAGAAATACATGATTTTATGAAATTATTGTGAATTTATTTCTTTGGTTTGTTGAGATAGGATCTCACTATGTAGCTCAAGTTGGCCTTGAACTCTCAATCCTGCTGGTTCAGCCTCCTGAGTGCTGAGATTACAGACATTTACCACCACATCTGGCTTGAATTATTATAAATTCTTAATATTATTCAAAAGGTGAACTTCATGTGCTACTATAAAGAAAAACCAAACTTTAATTACAGAAAATGTCATATATTGCTTAATTCACACTATTTGCCTATTGGATAAAGTTTAGGGCAAATCAGAGAATAAAATATTAAGTAATAATCTTGCAACCTGATGTGCGTGTGTATATACCCACACAAAATCACATTAATGCAAGAAAAAAAATAGTTATGAAATAAATTATTTTAAAAGTTGTGTAACAGATGTGGTTAAGAAGGAAAAAAAAAACCCACAGTGAAATGTAACATCAATTTCTAGGAGAGAAACAGAGGACTGTGCAAGGTTTAATTAGTTTATTCAGGGGCCTAGTTCCACAGCACAGATCAGTAGCTTAATAATCTTGGAAGTTCTTTCAGGTTTTTGTGCTAGTGCCCTACTTTCTACATTCATAACTTTATCAAGGTACAGCACTTCTAGTGGGTAATCCCAAATCCATAATATAAGAATACATGAAATGGGACTTCTGTTCATTTCTTTTTTTTTTTGGTACTGGGAATCAAACTCGGCCTCCTGCTTGCCAGGCAGATGCTGCAGCATCCCCCGCCCTGTTCATCTTGTACAGGAAATTAACCTTATTATCCAAGAAGGTATGAAATAACATATAGACAGAGACGATGACTTTAAAAATGAAGTTAGTATTAACAGTAATCTCAGGTGGAGCTGGAAGTGTAGTACAGTGGTAAAGGGCTTGCACAATATGCAAGAGGTCCAAGGCAGAAGCAAAAACTGAGGAAGATGTAGCAATGGATATATTCAGGATTCCTGGCTTTTAAAATTCTATCTCTTATTTGAAATATTTGGGAGAATCAAGTATACTAAACTTCTGATTATAATAGAAAATGTTTATTACAGTTGATGTTATATATATATTCTTGGTTGTTACATAAATAAACGCATTTACTACAGGCAAGGATGTCTCAAATGACAGAGCATCCACTAGTTTTTTGGCTCTTTCAATCTTCTGATGGGGGGGTGACCATGATGGCAAAGTGGGGTCGTAGGTCCAAGCATGGCTAGCTCCTTTTTTCACACAGGAGACACGGTCCTAGATCCCCTCAGCTCACCTCTCCATCTCAGTTTTGCCACCGAAGGAGCAACTGTGCTTGGCATGTTGTCAGATCTCAATTTTCTTCTCCACTTTCCAGAGGGAGGCACCATAGCTAGGTGATTTCAATCTTCCTGGTGTGTCTGTCATGTTGTGTGAACTAGGTCCGACCCCAGAAAGCATCCTCGCTGAATATTTAGGGAAATGCCATTTGTTCAATTTATTCGATAATTTGTAAAGCAAATACGTGCTTTAGGTTTCAAAGCTTTAAAAATCATTTTAACATGTATACATTTTTGAAAATTGATATAAAATATTAGTTGCTAAGGATTCTTTTCTATACAGATAGTCCCTCCTTTATGGTTTAACTAGTAAGTTAAATAGTGCTATTGAGACAGTAACTAAATGGATACTTCAAATTGTCACCAAACTAACCAACAAGAGGTGAGGCAAGTAGCATTTAGTGGGACAGTAAGAAGGGTGTACAAAGAACAAAACAAAGATCAAATGCAAAGAATAACTATGTTTAAACCCTTGAAGTTAATGCTCCAAAATATGATTTTATCAGTTTTACCCATTGCTGTAGCTTTAGCGTTTCCTCTGTACCTGACTGTAATCTGCTTTCAAATTATTTCTGTTGAATGAATAAAAGTGGGTCTCAAGTACCACTTGTTTCAAGACTGCCCAGAGTCCCTTAAAACGCAGCCTCTGGGATAACTGGAACTACAAATGGTGCTCTGCCCCCAGTCTTTGCTCAGTCCACCTGCCCTAAGCCCCCTTTTCACAGGCTGTGTGCAATCAGAGAACCACTGAAATGCAGTCTCTTTGCTAGAGAGAAGGTGGGGGCTACCATGGTTAATGTTTGTGCCAAACAAAAGACCAGCCAAGCTCTGGAAGTTTATTGGTTTGTTTCCTTCTCCTAGCTTTTATTGTATTGAACAAAGCAAAGCAAAACAAAACAAAACAAAACAAACAGGAAAATAATCCAGCTTCCAGGTTTTGTTTTTCCCTAATAGTTGAAGTCACCTTTTTTTTTTTTTTGAAACAGAGTCTTACTATGTAGTTGAGACTGACCTGGAACTCACTTTGCAGCCCAGGCTGGTCTCGAACTCACAGTGATCCTCCTGCCTCAGCCTCCCAAGTGCTGGGATTACAGGGGTGCACCCGGCTGAAGTAACTTCTTATTTCTGTGTCATTTCTTCTCTAGCATTATTTCACACTGCATTTACCTTTTGTTTTTCAGAGTAGTCTCCAATTTATTGTATTTCTAAGTAAAATTAAATTTTAGAACTCTTGTCAATGTCTGCGAGCTTCTCCTGTGTTCTTATCTCACCTGAGTAGAGTTGTGAGAAAAAAATTTATTCCACTGAACTAGGACCTTTGGGAGCACGTTTTTAGCCAGGTGAGGTGAAACCCTGTCTCAAACAACAACAAAAGAAGCACTTTTCATCTACTTTTGTCTAAAACTCGCCAGTGGTTCCTAAGTGGCAGCCAATCTTCTATGGTTTTGTGTTTGCTTAGGAAATACCAGAATCTTATGCTTTCTTGTATGGTAAGGTGATCAGAGCAGAAGTTTTCACTTGAATTATAACTTCCTTAAAAGAGTTTCATTCATTCAAAGGCATAATTTTATGAGGCTTATATAAAGCTTGCTTTGTTCGAAAACGCCAGACCTAAACTATTTGAATGAGCTGGGTCTGTTTCTCAGTTCGAGACAGACAAGATTTCCTTGCTGAGAAATCTGACATTGAGCAATGCCTAAAGACCAAAGGGGCCTCCTCTCCCTTGGATATTCCTTCCCTATTTCTTTAATCTGTTTGCCACTTTACATATGAGAAGATAATCGGTTGACAGGCAGGGACTTTACACATTTCTTAGTGTATTTAATATAAAGCAATAAAAGTGACAAAACTTTGAAAATCATAACTATTTACATAGCTTGGTGTTGGCAGGTAGGCACACTTTATTTTAATCAGAACATCAGGCCTAATTTCATCATCATTATTGGCACAGACAAAACTTTTGGATCAGAGGTCCACAACTTGTAAATAAACAACCAAAACCAAAGCTCCAGCCACCTGCGTTCTTGTGCTTTCTGGTCCTCCGAGAAGCGCTGGAACTCCCGACTCCAGGAGGAGGTCCCTGGGGTTCCCGAGCTCGGTGGCCTCTTTGGTGGCGTTGAGAAACCCAGGCCCGCTAGGCCCTCGGACTGGGGAGGCCGTGCGACCACGTAGCCTGCGCCCCGGGCGGAGCGGGGATTCGGCCACGGAAAGGGACTGAGCCCTGATCCCCGCAGGAATAAGATCCACGCGGGACCCAGGCCGCCGGCCTGATTTAAAAGTTGCGGGTTCTGTGTGCCCCGCCCATCAGGAGAAGCCATGACCAAAACCCAAAGCTGGGGCGACCTGGAGATTGAGCCCGAGGTCTGCTGTGGGGCGCGGGGTGACCCGTGCTTCCCCACCCTCGTGGACCTCGGGAGGGGACAGCAGCCCGCAGCCCCGCCTGAGCCGGACGCGTGCCGCG